AGTCAAAATGATTAGGTACTTTATTCCTCCTCTACCACCTCTCAGTTTTCTTACTTTTATTATTTCTTCAGTTAAAATGACAGAAAAAAAAATGTCCAGTATGACTGCAACTCTGTATTTACATAGTTCCGATTTGTCTCTCCATTCTATTTTTCATCGGCTCCTTGCACAATCTTTAGTATTTTTATGTTACTACAATGTTTTGTTAAATATGGTTCTAGGAAAACATGCCATCTTGAAGGGGAGAGCTGCTATGACTAGGAGCCCAGCATCACCACCACCCAGACTAAGCTCAGACACCATCCCGAACACTACAGCCACTCCGGCCAAAGAACTGCTACTTCATCTGCAGACCTACAGACACTGGGACCCCAGCCTCCCTGGCCACAGGCTCCTGTGAGCCCTGAGTGCGCTCCCCTCCCCCTTCAGCCACAGGCCCTGTGCAGTGACTAGGCGCCTTGGCACTTTGGTGAGAGCAAAAATGGGGAGACAAAGAACAAGCCCCAAACGGGGGAAAAAGAAGGAATGGCCAGAAAAGGAACTGAATGAAACAGAGGCATTGAATATGTCAGAAAAAGAATTCAAAGTAAGGGTCATACAGTTAGTTCCTAAACCAGCTGGATGAGAAATTCAACAACTTATGTAAGAATCAAGAAGAAATAAAAAATGATATAGCTACAATATAAAACCACAATGGAAGGTTTCAACAATAGACTAGGAGAGGAGGACCAAATTAGCAAGTTAGAAGACAGGAAAGTAAAACACACCTAAACTGAACAGCAACTGGAGAAAAAAATTAGAAAGCAGGAGGAGAGCCTAAGGGAGATTTGGGACAACATACATATAATAGGGGTGCCAGAAAAACAAGAAGAGGAATGAATAGAAAACCTATTTGAAGAAATAATGACAGAAAACTTCCCTGATTTGGAGAAGAAAGAAGTCACAGAAGCATAGGGAGTCCCAAACAAGATGAAGCAAAAAAGACCCACACCAAGACACGTGATAATTACAATGGCAAACATTAATGAAAAAGAGAGCATCTTAAATGCTGCAAGAGAGAAACAGAGAGGTACCTACAAGGGATCTCCTATTAGATTGTCTAATGATTTCTCAACAGAAACACATCAGGCCAGAAAGAAATGGAAAGAAGTATACAAAGTCATGCAAAGCAAAGGGACTCAATCCAGTAATACTCTATCCAGCAAGGCTAGCATGCAAAATTGAAGTGGAAATCAGGAGCTTCAAAGACCAAAAACGGCTAAGGGAGTTTATCACTATCAAGCCAGCAATGCAAGAAGTTTTAAAGGGACTGCTGTAAAAAGAATAAAAAGGGAAGAAAGAACACAGCCCTAAAGAATAAAAATGGCTATAAAGAAGAACCTATCAATAATAACCTTAAACCTAAATGGATTAAATGCTCCAATCAAAAGACATTGAGTGCCTGAATGAATAAGAAAACATGACCCATATATATGTTGTCTACAAGAGACCCACCTCAAAACAAGGGATTCATATAGACTGATAGTGAAGAGATGGAAAAATATTTTTTCAGGCAAATGGAAATGAAAAAAAAAAAAGCTGGGGTAGCAATACTTATATCTGACAAAGTGAAGGCCATAACAAGAGATAAAAATGGCCACTTCATAATACTAAAGGGATTGATACAACAAGAGGATATAACTCTGGTAAACATATATGCACCCAATGCAGGACCACCCCAAAACAAAAAAAACTTCTGGAAGATATCATGGGAGAGATCAACAGCAATACAATCAATCATATTAGGAGACTTTAATACCCCACTGACATCACTGAGTAAATCCTCTAGACAAAAAATCAATAAAGAAACAGCAATCCTAAATGACTCACTAGATTAGATGGACTTAATTGACATACTCAGAACATTTCACCCCAAAGCTATGGAATATACATTCTTCTCAAGTGCACACAAGATATTTTGAAAGACAGACCACATATTGGGACACAGGGAAAGTCTCTTCAAATTAAAGAAGACAGAAATCATATCAAGCATCTTCTCAGAGCAGAATGGCATAAAACTAGAAATCAACTACAATAAAAAAAATCCAAAAAAATCAAACATATGGAGGCTAAATAGCATGCTATTAAACAATGACTGGGTTACCAGAGAGATCAAAAGCATCCTGGAAACAAATGACAATGAAATACAAGAATCCAAAATCTATGGGACACAGTGAAAGCAGTCCTGAGAGGGAAGCTCATAGCTCTACAGGCCTACCTCAAAAAACAAGAAAAATGGTACTTAAATTATCTAACCCAACAACTTAAAAAATTAGAAAGAGAGAAACAAGAAACGCCCAGAGTAAGCAGAAGGAAGGAAATAATAAAGATCAGAACGGAAATGAACTACATAGAAACAACAACAACAACAAAAATCTATAAAACCAAGAGCTGGTTCTTTGAAAGGATAAACAAGATGGTTGAACCTCTAGCCAGGCTCACCAAGAAGCAAAAAGAGAGGACCCAAATAAACAAAATCAGAAATGAAAGAGACGAAATAACAGACCCCACAGAAACACAAAGGATTATAAAAAAATACTATGAACAACTCTATTCCAACAAACTGGCCAACCCAGAAGAAATGGACATATTCCTAGAAAATTATGACCTTACAAATCTCAATCAGGAGAAATAAAAAAAAAAACTGAATAGGCTGATAACTACCAATGAAATTAAAGCAGTAATTAAAAAAAGCTTCCAGCAAACAAAAGCCCTGGGCCAGGCGGCTTCACAGGGAAGTTTTACCAAACATTTAAAGAAGAACTAAAACTATCCTCCTCAGATTATGCCAAAAAATTCCAAGAGGAAGGAACATTTCCAAGCTCTTACTATGAAACCAGCATTACCCTAACCCCAAAACCAGATAAAGACACTACAAAGAAAGAGAATTACAGGTCAATATACCTGATGAACATAGATGTTAAAATCCTCAACAAAATTCTAGCAAATCAGAACCAGCATTACATTAGAAAGATCATACACCATGACCAAGTGGAATTTATTTCAGGGATGCAAGAATGGTACAAT